CCTCGCAATTAGTGGCTTCAATTACACTTTATATTTTTTAGTTTACGATCATTCGCAATGTTAAAAAAATAAAATTAAAATTAATAGAATATCCTAGCAACAGCTTGCTGTAGTCAGAGGTATCCATAGAGAAAGCCAGAGAGAAACTAATAGCTAAAGTGAGAGGGCTTGTGGAATAGGGCATTTCGTAGACAAGTTTATTTTGTCACCGCGCATCCCAGACGCGCATAGCGTTTAGGCGGTCAAAAAAGGAAGTTTTCAACTTTGCAAGTTAAACATTTGACAGGATTAATTAGATTGTCAGTAGCTTTTTCTATTTCTTAGTTCTAGAAGGAGATAACTAAAATCTGTTGATAATCGGAGCAAATCGGAGTAATAAATTGTTTTTGACTGAATGTGCCTGTTCTTTTAGCTTGTCAGAAGAGAAGATTATTGTCATTATTGATTATTTCAGATTCCACGATTATTCGGCATTTTTGTAATTTTTGTTTTGTGGTTGAGACCCAGACAAAACGTTTCCTTTAAAGGTAAGTTTTATCTCGGTAATTATTTTAACATACCTAATAGTAATAGTGAGTGCACATAATAATCGTACATTGCTAATTTAATTTTTTTAATTTAAAACATCACATTCTTTTCTGATACCTATGGAACGACTAGGTATTATACCTGGTATTATTTCCAGTAATACAAATTATTTTCTTCAACTGCTAGGTTCTTGTTATAGAATAAAAACTATCAAAAACATTGAATACCTACGGGATACCTACTGATACTACGTGCGAGCTCCCAACCGTGGTTCCCTGTTCACTCCCAACCAAGTTAGATAAAAAAGATACTGAAGATTGCAGCCTTGATTTGGAGTATGGCAAGGAGTGTGGAGTTAAATAAATTATTATGTTCCTACACAGTATTTTATTTATAGGTTTTAATGATTTAAAGTCTAATAATAAATTTTCGTTGTCAACAAAATAATCTAAAAAAACTACGAAGATTTCTTATTATAAACTTGAAAGATTAATATTCGGTTCATTACATTTACATTTCTCGTAGTATAATTATATTTATTCCACTAATTGCGAGGTTCTGAATCCAAACATATGACATGAGCTTGACAGTTTTTCTTATATCGATATTAGGGATGTTTCCTCCGAAGAATACCTATATAACATTTGGCTTCATATTGAAGGAAACCCTTCAAATTCTAGCAACACTGGGTTAAATTGCGCAAACTGGACTGCACAGCTAGCCTGTGCAAAAAAACTAATCGTCTGTGGGGGCCTTTACGCACTCTAAACATCCGAACTCGACTTCCATTAGTTAACAATCGGCGCGTTTTCGCTAATTTAAAACCTCTTCAAACAATTTCTCTGTTTCTTTCTCTCTTTCTGTTCGACAAATTAGATTAAGAGAAACGACCAGGATCCAATGAGGCGTTTCAAAAGGGTCAGAGGCCCCTCTAACAGCCAAGGGTCAAATCGTTTAAAACGTTTATTTTTCATTATGCGTGTGCATTCATTATTAATATGTCCAGCGTCATGAGTGTCACCAAGTCAATTTCTTTTTTTTTAATAATAAAATTCGACGATTTTTTCAACGAAGACCATCCTGTATATTTTAAACTTCGTCATTCCTTACGTGATCGATAAACAAAACGCATAAACATAAATGTTAATCTTCTAGCACGTTCTTTGTGTAGAAACAATAATTACTGAAGCTGTGTATAATTGCGTTGCTTTTTATTTTCCGATTATAGATTATTCATTCAGCGGTAATACCGACATTCTTCAAATGGAATATACACACATTTTAATTTCAAATCGCCACTTTTATAAGTCTTCGTTTCTATTGGATTAGTAGATGTTTTCATTTTATGCGTCTTACTACATCTCGGTTAGGAATGGGTGATGATTCTAATAATATCGATATGATGTACATATCGATTCAAAAAATATCGATAGTGAGATCAAAATCAAAATGACGAAAAAAACGAAATATCATAAAATCGTTTTTATTTTTTCTAAGTTCTATTTGAAGAGATGTTTTAAAATAAATGTCAATCCATCATTGTCACTTTTTTTCTCTGTTTAAGATGGTGCTATTAAATGTCAAATCTGACGTTTTGGCAATTTGGGGCATCCCGTGCATATTAGAAATTTGTGTTCAACAGAAATTTACCTATACGTTAACACCAGTAATATCATGAATTAAAACAATGCCAATCTCAATATGTGCAATATATCGAATATAAACGTATCGATTTTGTTAAAAATCGCTTTACAATGCCCATCCCTAGTTCAAACACAGAAAAACAAACTATCGATAAATTATTCTTGGAATTATTGGATATCGCTCAAGAATGTCAAGTGGTTTGGGTGTTTCAGCCCTTAAACCTGAAAGCCCTACAAAATTCAGGTTGTTTTTTTTGGTTGACAAAAACCAAAAATAGACGTTCGAAGAAACATTTATAGGTTTTAAAGCACTTGAAGTAGATTTTTTTGTTTAAAAATGAAATTTTCACACGTATGCATGTCTGTGGTCTTTTATAATAAGATGTTGAAGAGCTTTTTCGTCTTTTTTCACACTTATGAAGCGTAGTTATGTTTAAAAGGTGTCAAAAATCAGAATTCAATCACCAGTTTCGTGGATTTACTGCAAAAAAATGCAATGAGTTCAAAATTTCAGATAACAGATCAGTGGAAAGAAAAAATAATTTAGACGTATGAGTTGCTGTTTTTGACAGATTTGTTTGACGTTTCACTTGACACATTTGAAATTGATTTGAATTTTTACGGGTTTGTTGGATTTTTCTCAGGGTTAAGTGAATTGGGAAAGACATTGTGTCCGGACTTGAAAAAGTGAGATCATTGTGAATAGGGCCTCGAAAGTAGTTACTAGCGCAGTATGCGATTTGCGATTGTTCCCAGACAAAAAATAAACTAATCAATTATGAACTTCATTTAGAATAAATTAATTATTACGTGGTAATTCTTGCATTTTCCCCTTTTAATTTCTGTCCAAATAATCATGATAAGTATTATTCAGTAGCGTAACGGCATTTTTGTTATTAAAATGAAATAAACTTATTTATTTTTTATATTTGAATAAAGGCACCGAAAATCATAAAAACAATACAAAAAACGTAAAAATATAATCCAATTTTAACCAGCATAGCTGTTTTCTCGTCATTAACATGTTTCCTAGTTTAATAGGTAAGTATAAAGTTATAATTTGTCCTTTTATAAAATTACAAACGGTAATTATTGATTTCTCTCATGAATTTCGTGTTGGTAAGCTCTTTTTTTTCTCTCTCAACACATTCAAATTCTTAGACATATCACGCAAATCCTTACTTATCTCTTTGATCGCAGATCAAGTTTCTTTAAACTATACAATTATTAACGGTGGATTTACACTGCTTACCTTCTATAATAAATTCTAATTATATACAATGAACGCCAAAATTCATAACAAATAAAAAATTCTCGATTTTTTTTATTTTAGTAATTCCTTAAGCACCATCTACACATAACGTTTTACCTGTCAGTCAAAATCTATCAAGCAAAACCTAGCGTGTAGCCGAAAAAACGGTCCAACAACCATTATTATATGCATTTTACAATTAGATTTAGCGATCCGGCGAATTTTTGACACGTTTTATGTCAATTTTTAGTAAATGACGTCTAGAGATTGACCTCGTCAAAATTATCATCCCCAGCCGTCTTTGACACCGTTTTTTTTTCGATCATACGGTATTTTTATGTTGTTGAGTGTATACCGGCCTTTAGCCCAACCTAAACCTTGGCAAAATATTATGAGGTAATATCGACATATTTACATTAAATAGAGTAATTTAAACAACACATTTCAACACATTAAATGCTGTTATTCTTGTAACAAAGTGAATATTCATATTATGCTAGGTACTCATAAAACCTTCAATCAAGTCTAAATTGTTATTTCTAAACAACTACAGTCTGTCTTGTGAGAGAATGTATGATTACGACAGAAATACAATCAAAAAATGACAGAAACTGAATTAAAATGACAGTTAACTTATAAACATCTCCACATATTGATATTGAATATTGATTTTTTTTTCAAACTATATCAACCTTATAAGATAAGTGTTATACACACTCTGTAAAATAATACCTATGTTCAAGAAACGAAGTATCTGAAAGACATGCGTGACTCACGCACGAAGAATGCTGTGCAGTTCGCTACACAAATTGAAACCAATAAAAAACAACGTTCATTCAAGAGTCTCGGCGTCATTGACACCAAAAATAAAACACCAAAACGAGTGAAAAGTTTCTAGGAAATGCATCGAAACCATCTCCGTTGGTTTATTCTCAATTTTAAGCAGACTACAGGTAGAAAAAAAGTCCCTATAAAATGTTATCTCGTTTTGTCTAGACAGGTATCATAAAATAAGGTTAGTTCCACCTGTATTACAAGATGAAAAAATTTGTATAGGTAAACATTAAGATAAATACCTTGGAAAAATAAACGAATTTAAATAATAACAACTTCCAAAGACGTGACATCTTTTAAAATTCCTTAACAATCAACTGTTCAACAAAAGGACTCGAACAAATTACTAATTCAAGTCAAGCTCGTAATACATAAGGTAATTTACTATTCTTCGTACGACTCGACTTGTATATTTTTAAACGCTTCGTACTCACATAGGTGTAGGTACATATAAAAACATTCTTCTTGTAAGGCGTGTACGAAATGTTAAACAAATCGAAACGGTCTCTGACACTGATCTTTCTGCCTGTTGACCGACCCGTATGGGCATTTAAAAGTCCGCATGGGCAAGTTTGTGTCGTGTGAACGCGGCTTCGCATACCTGTAATCAAGAGTTCTTTGATACTTTGAAAACTTTCTTAAACCCGCCTAACATTCCGTTTTTTCAGGAGAAATAAAATGTTTTCACCCAATTCTACTTCTTTCCCACAGAATTTTCTCAAATAAACATGAAATTCGCTTACCTTTTGTTTTTTTTCTGCGATGTTGCAAAAAATTGCACCTAATCCATTTATTTACCAACAAAAACTCACTTTAATCCGAGTTTGCACTGGCACAATTCACTCCGACGTCGAGTATAAACATTCCCTTGGTAAACGGCGTTAGTTTTGCGCACTTTGGAAAAAGTTTTTCCGGTTTTCCGCGTGAAAATGCGCGTATTTTTCCGATTTTGACAAGGTGTGACCTGTACGAATCACCGCGTCCTCGAAACTCAAACAATCAAATCAAGGTATGCGGTGGAAGTTTGGCAGCTGCGCGATGCCAAAACGCGCAACGCAGGAGCGCACGTTCCAAAATTTTTAAAATTTTGATAAATTTGTTTATTTATTTATTTTCAAAATTTTGCACTAGGAATTCGCCTACCAAGTTATTATTAATAATAAATGACGTTATTACCTAATCTGTAAGATATTGCCAATTATGTACTTAAATTATTCAATAAATTTATAATTTTATTTTGTAGTTACATTTTTTTCACTAAGTTTTTATATAATTACAAATAAAACGTGTTATAACGTGCGTGAGTTATTAAATTTCTTTTTATATTGTTATATCTATTATTAATATTAAATATTAACGAAAAAAACATTATATGTATTATTTCTTTAAACTTTCAGTAGTAATATTTATTAAATTCTCTTACTTCGTAAGAAAATTTAATTTTAAAATGATTTTTTATATATTTAGATTCACTCACAAGTGTTTTAATACTTTTTAAAGATAAAATTCTTATAGTAAAAAATTTGAAACAATTCAAATTCAAATAGTTCCACCACTGGATTTAAACTTATTTTTTGCCGCTCTCTTTCTGTCAAAAGTTCATAAGTGAGGTTAGATTTATTGTTTTGGAAGCGTTTTTAAGTTTTTAGGTAATATTTTACAAAAATACCATAAAATGGGTGAAAAAAATTCTCCACTAACGTTTAATGAAGAAAAATATACTCAATTCATATACGACGATATAGACGATGTCGATATTTTCGGTACTACAAGTGCAGAAAACGAGAAAGAGGTAGGTAGCTATGAAACTTGTCAATTTTCGTACAGTTTATTAACTATTTATTGGTTTCAGGCTGAAAATATTGATCAACAACCTCTTCCAAGTAATGAAGTAATAGAGGAAAATGAATCCCTTAAAAAAGAAATGGACAAATACAAAAGCGAGAATGAACTTTTGAGATTACGAATCTCTGAGCTATATTTAACTGCAAAAGCTGAGATGGAGCGAAAAGATAAACGTTTGGGCGAACTGAAAAATGAAATGGATATTTTATTAGCTAGAAAAAATACACATTTACAGAATAAAACCCTTGGTAGGATTTTAAACATTGATTTGTATAAATGTTTTCAGATTTTATCTTTTTACAGTTAATAAGTGTCAGAGAGAATTCTCGAATGAGGAATTTCAGAGATTTGATGCAAAATATAAGATTCCAAAAAGAAACAACGTAAATAATGTTGTTGAAACTAATAATTCCAAAATTATTGCTGTTGGTTTAACAGATGATACAAAAGATACAAAGCAACATTCCCATCAAGATAAAGCAGATAATAGAAGTATTATAAAGACTGAAAATTCTTCTAAGGATCCTTGCAAAGAAAATCTAACATGTGTTGAGAATAAAATGAAAGATAATGATACAATAGGCAAAGCAAATAAACATATCCAAGACAAAAATTCAACTAAAACTGAAGTTAAAGCAGAATATAAGCACCACAGTAGTCAGAAAGAAAATAATGACTCTACTGAGTCAAAAGCAGTTTTAACTAAATGTAGAGATGGTAGATTTCATTCAAGACATACTCGTTCACCTCCTAAAGACAGAGATCGAGGGAGACAAAATATTTCAGGAAACCGAGATAACAAATACTATTCTAATCATGAAAGTAGATCGAGATCTACAGAAAAACCAAGACAGAGAGGGCAGTACCAAAAAAACAACTTTAGAAATAGATCTAAATCCAGAGAAAATTATAATTCCCGACACAGAGTTGGAAGGAGATCTAGGTCGCTTTCTAGAGAAAGATTTAAAACTAACAGACATACCAGTCAGCAAAGCTATTCAAGTAATAATTCAAACAGGTTTAGAGATCATAGAACAGACTCTAATAAAAGATTGTCACCTAAATCCACAAGTGGTCGATGTAACCAAGCTGATGTTCAGTCGTTGAGACAGAGACTACTGAGATACAGACATCGGAGTTTGGAAAAAGATAGAGTCGTTGCTAAATCATCAGAAAATAGTACTAATAATTCAAAATTACCAAAGAACGTTGATGACAAAGATACTGTTACCTTTAGCGATGAAGATGAAATACAATTGTTTCTGTCTGGTGAGAGTGATCATGAAGAAAACAGGTTAGTGAAGAAATGTTTTTTTTTATCAAAAATAGTAATATGGAATGATTTAATAGGGATGGGGAACATGAGGATGTATTGGAAACGACATTTAATTTATTGAAAGATCAAATTGATATTGATAACATGACAGAGGCTCAATTAGAAAGGTTAGTATAGAAATAAATCTATTGTCTATCTAATGGGAAGGAGATGATACATGACATTGACAGTTGTCTCTCATAGTTTAGAAGAAAATTGTATTTCCTATTATTTGGAGATTGGATGTCAAAATTTTCCCTGACTCTTTGGACAGGCTTTACCTATAGTCATAGTCTAATCTTGACTATACAGGGTTCGGAATAGTGTGCCTATACTTTAGGTTCTACAGGGTGGCTCAAATAAGTGTGAGTGTATCGCGATTATTTTTTTTTAATAAACCCTGTATATTATTGCATTTTTGGCTTCCTTTCTGATCACTTTACATAATTTTAAATATTATTAAATATTTTTTGATAGTTTAAGGGATATTAATAAATAAATAAAAATATTTTTTTCAGTCTTTTTTAAAATAATTATTAAAAATACAAGAAATGTCCTGAAATTAACACTATCTAGGTATTTACTATAGAGTTGGTCTGTACCATGTCTGTACTTACTTTCCTATAAATATAGTAAACTTAAATTATACAGGGTGTTCAAAATTCTATGCCAAACTTAAAATAGTTTTTCTTGGGTTGGGTGTTCCATTAAAAAAAAACGAAGAAAAATTATTTTATATTTGAGAAAGTTTGGCATACAATTTTGAACACCCTGTATGGTACGTATTAAATGTATAGAAATTTATTGAAAGGTATTTTTAAATGCCCCAAGAAAAAATCAAAAATCATTCTTTTTCTTATTGGATAGGTTTTATTGAGTATTGTTTTAACTGAAAATACTTTTAGTTTACTTAAAGAAAAACAGCTGCTGCTTGAAAAAGAATCTGACGATGAAACACCCACAGATAATACAAATGATATTTGTAATTCTGATGAGATTATGGTTTGTTCAAGTGAAGATGATGCATATGCAAAAGCTGAAAATTTAGAGCCTGATCCTAACAAAGAAACTAAGTGGTTAATACCTCTTAATGAGATTGAAATTGCATTGGATAAGAAAATTGTTACTGATAAGGGTATAAATAAAGATGTTACTAAAGAACATGAAGAAATAGAACCAGAGAATGAAAAAGAAACGATAGAGTGTGTAAATGATTGTAAAACATCTGAAATACAAGTTATAAAGAATGTAAAGTTGCACGAAAAAAATAGTACAAACGAAAAAGATATAATTATAGAAAACAGTCTTTCTAAAAATGTTAATTCTAAAGAGGCTGTCAAAAAACTAGATATTGAACAGAAGAATAATGATGAGAGTGAAGACCTTGCAAAGAATATTCCAAAAGATGCTTCAGAACTTCAAGAACAGAATGTATTAAAAGATAACCAAGAAAACCAAGTGCACAACAAGGATGGTGATACTATAGAAATGGAAGCAGCCAAAACACTTTGTAGTTTAAGTGAACCATTGGATTTTAATGATGACAACTCACCAACTAAAATTAATAAAAATTCTGGTTCAGTTGAAGATGAAAAATTAAAACCTAATGACCCAGAAGTTCAAACTTTGGAAGCTTACATTAGTGGAACAAAGCAAGAAACTGTATTTAGTACCAGTGGTTTGGAACAAGAATTGTATATTAGTGATGATGATGATGCTCATGAAGATACGGAAAAACATGAGACTCATGATGATCACCAAAGCAAACCAAACTCTCAAAAAGTTATTATACTTTCGGATGTAAAATTAGATCTAAGGTAAGGAATTGTAGGTAAGTGTGATGATTAAATTTCTCAGTTAAACAGTTTTGTCATATTTTTAGGGAAATTACTAAACTAGGTGGTACAAGGAAAGGGAGACTTGGTAAATCTAGTTCTGAATGTATTGAGTCAATTCAGGATGAAATAAATAGCAAAACTATTGAGAAAACTCAAGAAAAGATTAGCAGGTATTAACATTGCGATCTCTTAGAAAAATAAGTTAATCTAGATGAGTACAAAAATACAGGGTGGCGCACCTCATTCGCCTCGGTTGATTATACGAAAACGGACAGATGTAGAAACAAAATTTTTCTATGGGTATACGTAGAGAGGCAATGTGCACAATTTAAAATTATTTTTAAATGTACAGGGTGCGTCAGAACTAAGATCCATACCAAAGTTATATTCTTTCTTATGGAACACACACACCCGGTATTTTATTTCATTTTTGGATTCTTAGGCATAAAATAATGCACTAAATTTAGAACAGTTTACTTAAATTTACCTACAATAGTTTAATAAGTAAGTATTCATTATTTTATCAAGAAAAATAAAGCAGTATCATCTGGCAGAACGAATAGATATGTTACTAGTGATGATATTTTGTGAGGAAAATATTATTTATTTGTTATTGTACCTCCCTGTTTGTTTATTTCTCTGAGATTGGCTCTTGGAGATTTTTTATTTAAAGATCTCAATAGATATATGGAAATGTTGCAATTGATACAAATCAATTATATTTATATATTATGGTATCTCTATATTTACTTATTTTTCCGTATATTTAATGATTTTATTAATTTTTTCACTAATTTTAATTAGGCAGACTAAACCAGAAGAAGCTGAGACACTGGACACTACAGAACTACAATTATGTCTGGAAGGGAGTGATCATAATGTAGTAGATAAGAAAACTCGAAGTCCAAGGAAGCAAACAAAAAATAAATCATCATCTAGAGTAAAAAATAACGTAAATAACACAACTAGAAACAATAAGAAAAATAATAGTTGTGAAAAAATTAGGAGTAGTGCTGAAAAAATTAAAATGCTTTTTGGACCTCAAAGTCCAATGTAAGTACATACTGAGTGATTTTATTAATAATTTAAACAACCTAATTTAGTAAAATAATCAATTATAATTTTGTATAATGTCAAAATCATACAAATGCACTAACAAGCACAAAAAACATTTTAAAATTTTCATGAACTTTAAAGTTTAATAGATTTTGTTCTATTTTTCTGACTTTTTAGCCTCTTTTTAAGCCAAAAATTAAAAGCCTCCATCTGTCTTTTATACAAGGAAAAACAAAATGTTGATATTTTGGCTAAAGTTTGAAACATCCTGCGGAATGGTTTAACAAAGTAAGCAATTTAAGAGTTTTTTTTATCATCAAGATTCATTCTTTCTTGTTAGTTTGTTTTTTTGTTTATCTCAATAGCTTTATTTTTATTGAAGATGTTCTGTTTTCCATAAGACAACAACGATTTACAGAAATTCAGTCTCAAATTTTTCCCAAAATAACATTTTGTTTTCCCTCGTATAATATACAAATGGGGACTTTAATTTTTAATGGCTAAAAAGTCAAATAATTTACAAATTTCTTAAGAAATCATCAAAATCGGCTAATCACTAGAACGAAACATATTGAACTTTAAAAATCTTGAAAATTTTAAGGTGTTCATTTTTTGTGTCGGTCAGTGTTTTGTGTGTCTATTCTATTATGCTCTAATTCCACGGACGAGATAGTGTTGCAGCGTTGCCAACAAGGAAAAATATTACCCAATTTCAGGAATTTTCCTAATAATACAAAAATTCTCATTTTTAGAGTGTCTTCAAAATTTTCGGAAGAAAATGTCATGGTTAACGCTAAAACCATATCGCCAAACGAAAGACGAAGAATATTGATTGGTAAAGCAAAAAGGAACACATTTTCCGAAGAACTACTTTTGGCCGACACTAGTGCAAAAAACGGTTTCAAAGTCAGAGATAAAAATGGTAAAGTAAACAAAAAACAAACTGGTAAAATCGAGAAAGAGAACATAGATGAACCAGTCAATAAAGATGAGAAAGAAACAAAAAATATTGCGACAGAAGAACCAAAAAAAGTAGATGTATTTTGTAACAGCTTGACATAGTAAGTATAGTTCTTCTCAAAATAAAAAAAGTGTTATAGTAGCCTCTGAAATGTTTTTTTTTTAATTACAGTATTCCATCGAAAAATTCCGCAGTGCCTTTTGACAGTCCAAATTCTTTCATAACAAAGAAAATACAGTCAAACAACTCAAAAAAAATTAAACTTGAAGAGCAGAAGAATATCACGGATGTATCAAAAACCAAAAATGTTCAAACCAATCAAAACACACAGAATAAAAAGCAAACTACAAAAAATTCAAGAGTAAACCGTAGAAGTCCAGTGAAGAGAGTTACTAGAAGTACCAGGAAGACAAATAAAAGAACCGAAGAAAGTCCGGCACAAAATAAAGGAAGTTCTTGGAAAATTCGTTTTGCAGAAAATTCGAAAAAGAGGAACAGAAGTGAATGTAGCAACGAAGACTCCGGTAAAAAGAAGAAACTTAAAACAGACGAGGATACAGAAAAACCTGCTTCGAATAGTGTTACGGTTGAAGACAAGAATCCTAACCTCAAACCTGACACCAAAATTAGGAAACCACGAGCATCGAGGACGAAATCTTCAGATAAAATAAACATAGAAGAGCATAAAATTGAGCAGGAAAGAATAGCAAGTAATGAGGCACTTCAAAGCAGGCTTCAGGAATCTAATAAGGTTGAATTACAAAGATTGGATTCAAAAAGTGAAAAAATTGAACCAAATAGTAGACCAACCACTTTGGCGGATGTTATTAAAGATGAATTGGGTGATAAGAAAAAAGTTGTTAAACGAATAACGCCTCGAAGAATAGGTGATTGCACTCGAAAGAAAAAGGGTGATAATGCTAGAGTTCAGCTTTTTACTGAAAGTACTGAAAGTACTGAAAACAGAGGTTCTGAATGTGTACAAATATCACAATCATTTATTGAGAGTTCGGTAGTGTCTAATCTTTCATCTAGTGTAAAAAGTGATGTTACAGTAACTCAGCCTGCGCCGAATAGCTCACCTTTGCCATCTTTTGAGAGATATATTGAACAATCAAAGAGCGCTTTAAAAAATAAAACTCCTGACAAACCTGTTAAAAGTGAAAATTTCAAGTCGTCTTCTGATGTGCGAACATCTGATTATGGCGAGTTTCCAGATATTCACATCGATCCAATAACTCTGATGGAAAAAAAGGAAATCGATAATATAATCATCGATTTAAATATTTCAGACAAGAGTTTAATATCATTGGCCAACGGATGTAAAAGTAAGAGTGATAAAGACAGTAATGATGATCCTCTGGAACTTAAAGACCCAAGAAATAGTATTAATTCCTTAGATTTTTCAAATTTCTTAAGCAAGAATAAAACTACCTCGACTCCAGTAAAGTCTGTAACAAGAAAAGCTGAAGATAAAGTTGAGGTTTTGACTGAAAAAACTGAAAATATTTCCAGTTGTTCGAATCCAAATGTTTCGGATAAGAGTTTTCAGAATCTTTTAGAGTATGCTGCCAATTCTTCCGGTGATAATAGTGGTGTTGTTAAAAGCAATATTCAAATTGGGGTTCCCCTAAGGAGGGATCGAAGAAGAAGGCCTATCGTTATGTTACTTGAATAGTAAAAAAATCAACATATTTTTATAAGCGAATGAAATTATTTTTTATAGTTTGAAATGAACTTTTTCCTGTTTTTATTTATATGCCAGTATTAATGATTTATTTAAGAAAAAACTTCAAGGATTTTGTAATGAAACATTACTCTTTACTTTACTTCTTTTGGTTTATTGTATATTTTTCCTAAGGTTATTCACGTTTATTTCGTCCGGTTTTTGTTGAAGAGATAAGAATATATTGTACATAAATTATATTTGAAAGATTTTGTATATTATATCCTTTATAATCTGATTATAAGAGATTCTATAGCTTGAAAACAGTTTTTGTATGAAAGGAATTGAATTTTACACTTTTAAAACGACCAATAGTCAATGTAAACAATCTTATAATTTAATAAAATTAACAAAATTGTCGTTTTGAGGTCAGTTTCAGCATTTCAATATTTAAATTTAAAAACAAAAATTTTCTAACTACGCCTCTGGCAGGTCACGTGATCAATAACCATTCTTCTTCTTTTTAATAATTTATAGGTCTAAGCTGTTAGGACTATCCGCCCTGATTCTTCTTTTCATTTTAATACCCATTTTCTACAACAGACTTTGGTGCCCAAATGTCTTCAAATAAATAAAACAGAAAAGAAGAAAATCTAACTGCTTAGGCCACTAAATAAAAAAAGAAGAAATTTTTTTTTTCATTCTAACCTCCAACGTCAAAAAAAAGTTAGGTTATGAAATTTAAAAGTGGTGGAACAATTTTTCCCTTTCACTTCGAATTAAATATCCAGCGTGGCACATAAATGAGACTGTATGCTACAATACGCTTCCTGATTAGCATAAAGTTTGTCAACAAACCTGCGAATCTTAGTTGCCTCAATTTTTTCCGATATCAAGCGTTTTCCGGTGGAGCATATTGTAAGCAGAAATACGATCAAAAAACTCAGTGGGGCAAAAATAAACAGCATAGAAAGGTACAGTTGAAAATATATTACGATACCATGGCTGATCCAAAGAATGAAGAAATTCTTGCACCTTTAAGGGCTAGCGTAAAAGAACAAGTAAGTAAATTTATTGCATCATCCTATGAAGACCTCTTAATTTAAAAGTACTTGCTTTCTCTAGGGTGATTTAGTTAGACAACTGAAAGCCAGCGGAGCTCCAGATTTAGATGTAAAAAAAGCTGTAGCCGAGCTAAAAACGAGAAAAAAGATTTTAGAAGACAAGGAATTATCGCTCACACCGAGCTATACTTTTGACCGTGCAAAAATGGAAGATTTACTTAAAAGACGTTTTTTCTTTGATCAGTCTTTTGCAATTTACGGTGGAATAACTGGTCAGTTTGACTTCGGACCAATGGGCTGTGCATTTAAAGCAAATTTACTACAAGTATGGCGACAGTTCTTTGTTCTGGAAGAACAAATGTTGGAGGTTGATTGTTCTATTTTAACTCCAGAGCCTGTATTGAAGTAAGATGGAATTTATTTATTTTTTATGTGTATTATTAAGTAAAAATTTACAGAGCATCAGGACATGTCGACCGTTTTGCAGATTTAATGGTAAAAGACATAAAAACAGGTGAATGTTTTCGATTGGATCACTTAATAAAAGCACATTTAGAGAAAATAGCAGCCGATAAGAAGACTTCAAATGAAACTAAAGAAGAATGTAGTGATATTGTTGTGAAGGTAGCTTTAATCTCTAATGAGAGTTTTTCAGCTTTACTATTGTTATTTTATTTAGTTAGATGGAATGAACAAAGCAGAAATGGCTGCTGTCATGAAAAAATTTGATATGAAGAGCCCCCTAACTGGGAACGAACTCACAGAACCCATAGAGTTTAATCTTATGTTTGGGACACAAATAGGACCCTCAGGTTTAATTAAAGGGTAAACATTTAATTTATTTCTCTAAAGTCTTGTTTTATAAGTTCAATTTAATCTTTAGATGATAGTTAATCTTGAGATTTTCTTATCAAACTGCAGTCTAAAGTTTGAATGAAAAAATTTAAGTTTAAACTTAGGATTATCCCTAAGTTTTACTGAAAGTTATTCAATTGGGTCTAAGTAATTTATAAAACATGTTTTTTGTAGATTTCTGAGGCCTGAGACGGCCCAAGGAATCTTTGTAAACTTCAAAAGACTTCTGGAGTTCAATCAGGGAAAACTTCCCTTTGCAGCTGCGCAAATAGGGAATGCTTTCCGTAATGAGATTTCCCCAAGATCTGGGCTTATAAGGGTTAGGGAATTCACCATGGCTGAGATTGAACATTTTTGTGATCCCAGTGATAAGAGCCACCCAAAATTTGAACAGTAAGTTTGATTTTATTATGATTTTTTATGCTTTATTTTATATACATATATATTACTGTTTTATAAATATTTTATTATATATTAATATTTTCTATAATGTCTTAAGGGTAAAAAAGGTGGAGCTTTTACTGTATTCTGCTTGTAACCAAATGGATGGAAAACCTGCAGAAAGGAAGACCATAGGAGAAGCTGTATCAACGGTATTTTTTTTAATTTTTCTTTCTAGACATGTTTTAATTTTATAAATTTTAGGGATTAGTAGCGAACGAAACTTTAGGCTATTTTATGGCGAGAATTCAAACTTTTATGGTAAAATGTGGCGTGGATCCTGCCAGGTTAAGGTTTAGACAGCATATGGCTAATGAAATGGCTCATTACGCTTGCGATTGTTGGGATGCAGAATGTTTAACAAGCTACGTAAGTAAAATAATTTTTATTTTATAATAGCGTGTACCCGCGACTTCGTTCGCGTCGAATTAATCATTTGTAATGGTGATGATAAAGCACAGCAAGAATTTCCATTAACAAACAAACTGGATAAAATTTTCTCACAATTCAATTATGTCAGCATGAGAAAAAACAATATGGCGATATTATTATATAACTTGGTAATATTTGAGAAAAAATAAACTTTTTACATCAAGCATTTTAAGCGGAATCGTGGTTAATCATTTACCCAACTTTTTGGAACACCCTGTATGATTTTTTAAAGTATTTGAAAATATGTAAAAAAAACCAAAATAAATTTTGCGTGTCCAAGCGATATCCCGACTAATGGTTTTTTAAATAACAAATATTGTATGTAATATTTGAGGGGCGTTTTCACCCTCTTGGAATTTGAGATTCGAGAAACCCCTCCTTATCTAACCTCTACACCCCACAGTCAATCCGTTTGCCAAAAATCAGTTTTAAACGTCAAGCAGTTTAAGCAGAATCGTGATTACTCAATGGTCATATTTTATGAAACACCCTTTATAAATTTTTAAAAAATCTTTAAATATATAAAACAACAAAATAAAATATACGTGTTTAAGAGTTTTTTCCGAAAAACTCCCCGGTTTTTGAAATAAAAAATATTCTAATATTTGAGGGGTGGTTTCCCCCCTTAGAATTCGAGTTTCGAAAAATCCTTTCTTATCGAACCTCTACACCCTAAAGTCAATCCGTTTTCCAAAAATCAGCTTTTTACGTCAAGCGCTTTAAGCAGGATCGTGATTAATCAATGACCAGATTTTTCGAAACACCCTGTATACATTTTTAAAAAATCTTAAAATATTGTTACGGATTCCGTGGGTCCACTATTTAAACTCACGATAAAATACTTAACGAATTTATTTGTTTCACTCTGTACACACAACTTATACTATTTACAACACAACTTATGCAACTACTATTACTCTAACGGTATTTCGCGGTATTTTCAAACTTCAGACTTTCTTCAGGGTGCAAACTTCAAACTTGTCCAACTGTCGTATCACGTAACGCCTTATGACCCCTGGAATAGATTTCCAGTAATTTATTGGCTGAAACATTCATCTGTCAGAATTTTTTCTGTCAAATTCATCTGTCAAAAATTTCAGCCAGTAGAATTACTGGAAATCGATTCAAGGTCGTTACGCCGTTACGCCGATACGCCGTTTTTAGGATAGTGTGGCTGCACCCTCAGACTGCAAACTTCAAACTTGTCCAACTGTCAAAGCGCGGGCCTTATATACCCCCTGGCGGTTGTTTCTAGATTTTTCTAAAGAATTCTATAATTTTCTTTACTTTCTGGCGAATGCGCCAGGTTCCTCAATGCACATTGCGATTTTTTAGCAGTATGCAGTTATGGAACCAGTAATACACCTTGACAATATGTAAAAAAACAAAATAAAATATACGTGTTTAAGCGTTTTTTCGGAAACTTGACCGTTTTTTAAATAAAAAATATTGTAATAATTGAGGGGTGGTTTCACCCCCTTGGAACTGAAATTTCGAAAAATCCCCTCTTATCGAACCTCTACACCCTAGAATCAACCTGTATACCAAAACTGAGCTTCTTACGTTCAGTGGTTTGAGCAGGATCGTGATTAATCAGTGAGTCAGTCACTTAAGGATTTTATATACGTATTAGTATAGATTATATAGTTGTTCAGACTATATTTCTTAGATATAATTTTTAATTATTATTTCAGGGTTGGATAGAATGTGTAGGATGCGCTGACCGGTCAGCCTACGATCTGACCCAACACACAAGAGCGACAGGTGTTAGGTTAGCTGCCGAGAAGAAGCTAGATCAACCTAAAGTTATAGATGTTGTTGAAGCAGCTCCCAATAAAGGAACTCTGGGAAAAACCTTTAAGAAAGACGCAAAGGCTGTTACCGATGCCCTTGCCAGTTTGAGCCTGAACGACATCGAAGATCTGGAGAAAAAACTAGCTAGTGATGGGTAATTATCATCTGTTGTCACTTCAGAGGATTTTGTGACGCCGTTTTTTTCTCTTTATTTTTAGAAATTACCAATTATCGGCTGGAGATCAGTCATTTTCACTGACAAACGATCATGTTGCTGTAAAAAAATATCAGAAAACGGTTCATGTAGAAGAAATCATTCCTAGTGTTATTGAACCGTCATTTGGTGAGTAATAGACAGCCTAGATTGTTAGGGAGCGCCCATATCTGGCTGACGTTACGTGAGATTTTGACAGTCTATTTACGAGAATTAGACATAACTGTTATAATTAATGACTAAAGAATACAAGGACAAATAACACCCGAGACCAAATTGTCATACCACCAAACAGTGCCGTGGCTCATGTTTTTCTTAACATAGTCGCTTGAAGAGATATTTGTATTTTTGATAAATGTTTTGAGTACGCCTATGGGGTATGCGGTGGTATCATACTAATTAATTACGAAAAAAACGTATTAAAATGTTAACAAATGGTACAAAACTAGTATCGACGTAGAGCAGATATCAAGTACATATAATATCAGATAAATAATTATCGAATTCAATAAGAAAACGCTAAAAAGGTGGAGTGGACTGTTTATTTACCTATGAAACGTAATTCCTGGCTCTTTCTTATCCCTGCGGCTTTTACACTTGAAAGCTGAACAACTAATCACCATTGTAATAAAGTTTATACAAAGTTCACTACACACGAAAATTGTTAAAATTGTCGCTGATGACTCATTCGCTACAACCAAATAAATGGCGTCTATCATCACAAATTCTGCTGCAGCCCGTATATGGGCGTTACGTCCTTGTATTCTTTAGTTATTGGTTATAATAAAATTGTTTTGTTTTAGGTGTGGGCAGAGTTATGTACGCCATTTTCGAACATAACTTCAAACAAAGAGAAAACGACGAGCAAAGAACGTATCTGTCATTACCTGCCACCGTAGCGCCACTGAAATGCAGTGTCTTGCCACTGAGTTCTAATGCCGAATTTATCCCGTACATTAAGGAACTATGTAAGTAAAAAATAATTTTAAATTTCCTAATTTTGACACTTACTTAACGTGATTTTATTTATCAAAATATGCAACTTCAACTAAATTATTCTATGGCATAAGAAATGAATAATTTCAAAGGTTATTTTGACGACGTTTTTTTCATTTATGATAGGAAGTCAATATTATGAAAATTATGTAAACTATACAAACATACTAGCAACTAGGTCACTACATCTGTGTGGTCTGTCTTTTAAGACCGGTTGCCAGACAGAGAGACAATATAAAAAGCGGCATACAGTGTTGCCGGTTTTTACGTTTGTAGGAAAATGTATGCAGAAAAAAAAAAATAAGCTATTTTAAAAACGTTTATGTATACTACTGAAATGAATATAATATATCTAAGCTAAATATAATATATTACCAGCTGTAGTAAATTGAGTAACTAATTGTGAAAAACAAAGTTCCAACCCTAGACGCAGCATTTTTCGTAAACGCCTACTTGTGCGGTTTGAGATTTGGATGCAAAATCCGGCAATACCGCATAGAGGAAATGTATCAACCCAACTTATATCTCTTTTTAATACATTTGATTTTCCATTAAGTTGTCGACATCACTGTCTTACACGTTAAAATCCAGACCACGCAGTTTCATTGACCAGATCGGTATAGGTTAGTACAGTTTTGTACAAGAATAATTTTTGTTTTAGCTGCAAACTTAACCAAGGTCGATGTTTCTCATAAAGTCGATGATAGTTCGGGTTCAATTGGAAGAAGATACGCTCGTACAGATGAAATTGCAATTCCCTACGGTATTACCATTGATTTTGACACACTAAAAGAACCCAGCAGTGTCACTTTAAGAGAAAGGGACTCTATGAATCAAATTAGAATACCTGTGAGTATTAATTTTGTCAGAAAAAGTATATTTTTTTAAATTTTTATGTAATGATTTTGTAGTTAAGTGAAATTGCGACTGTGGTACACAACTTGGCCTATAGTAAACAATCTTGGAGCGAAATAGAGAAAAAATACCCAAAGTTTGAACAGCAGGAAAGTAAAGGAAATTAACTATAGGCTTTAAACGAATTATTATACTTTTTAATGGCATTTTCTATGTTAATTATTTAAGAACACTTACCAGCTTTATATTATTGTACTAAATTATTGTCTTAGTTTAATAAAAACAGCAGAAAAAAAAATAATTTTTTGAATGTTATTTAATTAAAAATTGGTTCAAAACTTACAATATACATTCAATTCAACCACATTTAAACTAGCTTATGATACACTATTTCAAATATTGTATAGAGTACCTCAGAAACTTAAAGAACTAAAAATTATGTGCATAGAATGTTACATGAACAAATTGATTGAAATTATTTTGGAAGATTTTTTTAATAATTATTTGCATCTACCTATTTATCTTCTTTAACTTGTTCTTTCAAAGAAAAAATAATATAAAACCCAAAGTATAAAACAAAAACATCTTAGCTACGACCATATTTTCAATATGACATACAAATGGCGTTTTTTTTCAGTGATTTTTTTTATTAAAATAAATTAACAAAACTGAAAGGAATTACATAATGGTGACAGAAAAATGATTTCAATATTAATTAATAGCCTAAAACTACTCTAAATCAGGGATGGGTTCGTCGTCAGAATCCCCCCCTTCATCTGCATCTAGATCGTCGAAATTTGGTTTACCGCCTGCGCCACCTAAAACAAAATTGTATTGTGAAAATATTGCAGGAGTATCCCGTACAGGGTGTCCCATTTTCATGTTTTTACAGGGTTTTATCACGCCAAAGAAAAATAAAAAATATATACAGTGAGTCCTATTTAAAAAAACAAGTTTGAGTCATATGACATCTCCTAACGAAAAACTAATGGATATCTCAAATCTCATAAAAAATTTCCATTTTATTTTACAGAAAAAAATATTTGAATCTTTTTAAAGACAACAAAGTAAACTGTTCATTTTCAATAGCTTCTACGAATTCTTTTTGGAACTTTGAATAAAAAGTTAAATAGATGATGATAATTATGATTTGTTAATGCTTGTTTAACAATGTTATACCAAAGAGGTTATTCTTAATATATCAATTTGCATAGCCATCATAGCCTAACTTTTTTATCAATAAACTTTGTAGATTTTCAGATTATTTAATTCCTTTTGTTTCCGTTTGTAATTTTATTTTTAAGACATATTATGTGATTGTTTCAGATAATATGTTTTAAAAATAAAATTGCAAATAGCGAATAAAAATAATTAAAATAAAAAAGTGTATTTTACAATTCCCCCCGGCCCCGCACCCCTTTGGCTAACCTGTAAATGTCAGCTTTGTCGAGAGATGGCGTTACGAAAATGGAACCGATTTATTACAAGGAACTTGGGCTTCTTTTTCGTTAGTATATTCTGTGCATCAAAAACCTTAGATCGAGCGCGATGGGGACCAAAAATGGCCGACTTAAATTCCGGTTTATCAGTGCCGTTCTAATTTTATTAAAAACGTGTAAAAATATGATGTAGGGTAGTTTCAACAACGATAAACCAATAGGATTGTTCATCCTCATAAGACGTACGTTCGCCTCTTCCCGCGCTACAGCTGACAGTTGCGACGTCATTGTAGTCCTTGTCATGATAGTGTGTATTATTGGTTGCCTATGGTAAACTTAGAAAATAACAGCTGAGAAATTTGGAGTTAATTATTTTGTCGATGTTAAATGTGAAAAAGCTGTTTTTAAAGTTTTTAGAGCTATAAAGTGTATAAATACGTTTATTTTGTGTTGTGGATTGTGACTAAGTGCTTACTAAGTGCCTACAATATTGTTTATTAATTATTTTAAAGCAAAATATGCGGAAGTACTCTAAAAAGAATGCCTGCAAAAGGTGATGCTGGGAACTGCTGTTCTTCAAAATGCATTACCCGAGTATTTAATATGATTTATAAATTGTGTTTAAATAAATAAACTAAATAATGAATGTTTTGCATGGCAACCCCCACACACTGTCATAACAAGGACTACAATGACGTCACAAAGCGAAGAGTCTTCGCATGCACCTAGCAGATACTTTCGGCTGAATGAGCAGTCCTGTTAGGTTAACTGTTCTTGGGGTAGACTCAATAATTTGTTGTTTTATTTTACGTTGTCAATAAATGTTGATAGTTATTAAAATTGTTATAAAAATAAATAATAAATAACATAAAAGAAGCTCAGTAAAGACTGACAAATACACAAAATTCAAATCAAATTCAAATGTGTCAAATGAATCATCAAACATAACTGTCAAGGATCCCCACCCTAGAGTCCTCTTTAGTATAGCCCTTGTATAGCATTAAAATTAATTACCTTAATCTTTTTATTCAAAGGACAAGACGATATTTTGTCATCTACTTATGAAATAGAAATGAAAAATGAAAAATTTAAAGTGGCTAATAATTTGGCTAAAATATACATGAACACCCATTACAATTGTCCCTTTAGAAGCATACTAACCTAAACCACCCATCTGTCTCATCATTTCCTCGAAATCTCCACCTCCGCCTCCCATTCCACCGAGTCCTTCATCCCCAGAATCGTCCTCATCATGCCATTTGTTGAAATCGCACTTGAGCCAATGATGTTTCTTTTTGTCGGATGTAAGTGTAGGCCAATAAGGTTCTTCTTGATTAGCCTATCAACAGAATATCAGTAAACATGTTCAATTAATACAAAAAACAGTATCAGTTAATAAAAACCAGAGTAACTTTTTTTATGCAGTGGTACAACTTACTTTGGCTAAAACAATTTCAATGCACCGCTCCCTATTAAAGCTTTTGCTCTTGTCTGGATCTATTTCTTTGTACAGTGGGATGGTTACTTCGTATTCTTTTTTGTCTACACCTCCTGTACCATGAAAGAAGACCGAGTTTTTCGTGAACCTACAAATGACACAAACATGAACATGCATAAAATTCATTTTAGGTTTTCAACCAACATACTTTATTTCAGGGTTTTTTACATCTTCTAGATTTATAGTTAAGAATACGACTGGGGACCTCTGGGCCCACATTACAGGTGGAGGTAATCTGGAAAAAAAGAATTTATAGTAAAAAACCGCATGAATGTTAGGTTAGAAGTAAACAACTCCATAAATCCAACATGTTTGTGGATTTAGTTTTTTAAAAACCTTTTTTGGGCAAATAAAAGCGATCTTTAAATAAAAGTATAACATTCTGGATAATATTCGTTGTTTGTACAAAATAAGGAAACCGAAAATTCTAGAATCGATTGTCTTGGGGTTCACAACATGGCGTAAAATAAAATATCGCTATTTTTACGATTCGCTACGCCTAAATACCCAAGAATAAAGCTTGTAAAATGCTCAAATAGTAAATGGCAGAAAATAAGATTCAGTACTTACTTGGAGTCAGTCATTTTTCGGACTTTAAATAGATTTATTTGACTTCTCAAGAATCAAACTCAAACGTCGATCTGAGTTTTCTGAACGCGCACGATTAATTTTTCCGGACAGCGACGTGAAGTTAGTCACGTCAAAAAATATCTTTTATTGGTTAATGATTGTAATTTAATTATTTCAATTTATTCAAATATAAAATTCTCGCGTTAACTGGCGCATTTAATGATAATTCTTAATTATTTTAGGAGGATCGGACCTACTAATTTTTTTGTTTTTTTAGTTCGCGCAAAAAATGAGATAATGGCGAATGCGCTAGGATTTTATTTTGAATACAAATAACAATAATTTATTTTTGGTGAACTTTTTAGACCAAAGTTTAAAACATAAAAACTTGTTATTTAAACCGGTAAATGCATAATTAACAAAACAGTACTGTTCATTCTATATGAACAATTATAAAAAGCAATAATACATGTGGTGTATCATTTATAACAACCGTTTACAATATGTTATTTAGCTAGGGTATTTGATAAAAAAATTGTGAATTACCTACTTTTACTAAAATAAAATATTTTAAATATTTATAAAGATATCGGTGCACAATTTAAGTGAGTATTTTTAAAATTGGTCAAAATTGTAAATTAGTAAATATTCTTAAGGTTAATTTTTAGTTTTATTAATGTATGTTAAATTATTGTTGAACATAAGTGACCTAAATCATATTTGAACAATTAGGGTTATTACTGCATTATTAGTGCATGAAATATACCATCTAAAAATATTTATTGCAAATTATATAGCGTAAAATAACCATATTTATTTTTATAGTCTAAATTTTGTTATTTAGGTGCATGTAACGTATAAAAAGAATAAAAAATTTGAAACACCCTGTAGTAGATGTAAAATAGATTTCCTACCTTCAAAAAAGAACGAAAATTACTCAGGACATATCGATTTTGGGTACTTAAAGTGGTATAGGAAAAACAAAACAAAGTTTGGAGGAAAGTTGTAGTGATATATGATATAAAATACAGGGTGTTCTATTTAAAATAGCTCAGAAGAAATTGTTTCATTCTATCACCTTAAAATATAATATTTTTTGAGTGATTTTTGTACCCTAAAGCCCTTCCTACACCTAAAGTTTGAACTGTCAGTTAAAATGGAAGACCGTCTAGAGAAATGACAGCAGTCCTGTCCCTTGTCCTAGACGATCTTTTATCTAAAGCTTCTTCTACACATAACTTTTTACATGTCAGTCTTACCTGATCTATCTGAGTACCTAGGAGAAAAAAAGGTTCGCTAAAGAACTGACGGGACTCATCCAGTTTTACATCAGTACTATCGTTTTACTTACATTGAAATATATAAGTAAAATTACAAAAAATAGTAAGCCGCTTATAAAAATCATATTTTTGCATAGTTTCACAAAATAATGTGGGTAATTTTACAAAATAATTTTTATTCGCACATACGTACTATATTTTTTATTAAACTATTTTTTCTGCTATATACTACCCACTGCCAATTAAAAAAGGTTAAAGCAATTAGTACACCGTACATCGTACCGGTGGTACTGAAATAAACAATCAGAAAATCTTCAACGAGTTCTGTCTATACCTATATAACTCCCCTCTATATTGTTGTTATAGCCCGGTACCCAGTAGAAAGCAAATGTTGTAAAGCCGCCGCATGAATCGCGTGGATTTAACAATAGTACCATTAGTACCGCGACTTGATTTAGCTCGTATGGTACCTCAGAAGCCACTTTTTTTGGTATCGTAGATATTCGTCAACCATATACGCGATTTTGGTGGTTCTATTGACTTTTTTCGTACAAGTGGACTATACTACCAAAAAATAGGCGTCAAAGTTGTTAATTTCGGTTAAAAACGTTAATACAAAGGTCACCAACGGTTTAAAAGTGTTTTAAATTGAACTAAATTAACGATGTTTTAAAAAAATAGACTACAAATTGGTTTAGTTTTATTTTTGCTGGCTGGTGAACAAATTCAAATCTTGTATTTTCGTTAGATTGAAGTGTCTTTTGGATTATAAACTATCTGAACGTTATAAACTGTTATTTTTTGGAAACATTTTGATATTATGAGAACTGAAGCTTGTTTTTGGATTAATATTTTGCCAGGAAAAACTGTTTAAAAATGTCAATATTCAAGGATAATACACTGGTAAGTACATAAATTATAACTAGTTTAAAGAAATTAAAGATTTTAGTATTTCAACCATAGACGCGCACTCTGCTACAGTATTTTTATGATTTTATTTAATTTTGTCCCTCAAATGGAGTGTTTTTTTAAAGAAATAGACGCAAAAACTGTTAAATTCGGTTAAAAACAATATTACAAAGGTCAGCAACGGTCTAAAAGTGGTTCAAATTACCAATTTATTGTTTTTATTGAAGTAAATTAGCAATGTTTAAATAAAATTGACTATAAATTGCTAGAATTTTAATTTTTCGGGCTAGTAATGAAATACAAATCTTCTTTTTGAACATACTGTCATTAGCGTAACTAGCAATTCATCCTGGGGGTGAGCATAGGGTTGAAACCACATCACAAGCAAATAAAGTCAATTCAGTCAATTTAAAATTTTTTTTTAGTTACGCCAATGCATACTGTCCTCTTTTCTCTCACAAAAAGTCCTATTTTTTTCACACCAAATTCAAAATCTGAAGTATTATTCTATCCCCAAAATGCTTAATAAAATATTGTAGATATTCAAAGATCTGAACTCTGGTAAGTACTCAAATTATAACTAATGAAATGTATGTTTGAATTTACCGAATATAAATCTATTTTTAAATTTATATGATATTTTTTATTTTGTTTAAATATTCTGTAAATATAAAATACCTACCTGCTATCGTGAAATACAAACAGGAATGTGTATAGATGATTTTTTAACTGGAAATTCCTACTATTTGAATTTAATATTTATTTTATTATACACCATGTTACCTGAGGCCCTACACCGACTGATATACAGGGTGAGTCCTAAATAAGTCCAAAAAGAGCACTGTATGATGTTATAACTCAAGAAAGGAGGACACCTAGATATATCTAGAAATTTGGGATATGCTTGTTCAAAATACTTACTTGTGAAAGGTTGTGATGTTTGCTATAAAGTTTTTGTTGTAAATCCTACAAATCTTACAATTTAAACGCACAAATTTTTATTTTGATAAAAAGATAGTCTCACAACATCCATGTACAATTTTTTACAAAGAAACATGTAAGATGAAATTTAAAAATGTGTAAACAAAAGAAAAACTTCAATGTCTTAATTTGAAAATAAACAACTGAAATGTTGTCAAAATAAAATTTAAAATTTAAAAGCCTAATTTAACTTATGTCAAATATTGTGACATTTCTAAATCACATATCATATTTCTTAACGAGGTAGGAACTAATATAATGATAAATTTGTTGGAAATAAATGTTTACATAATAGATTAGTAATAATATAATTAGTTATAAGTAGTGGAGCAAATATATGACCTTAGGTATATCAGATACTTATCGCAGCTTATAATTTGCATATTAATTATAATTAAAAAATATTCTGTGCGTACGTAAGAAACTATAAGTATAAATATTAAAAATTTAGAATAGTAAAAGTAAATTTTAAGCTATACAGGGTGAGTCTTATATAAGTGCAAATATTTTCAGGGCTGGCAGATCTCGATAAAAGAAACATATTTTGTCTTTACCGTTTTACAAATACGAAGTCCAAAATAATCGAGTTATTTTTTTTTGAAAATTTTCAAAAAAATGATTTTTTGCTTAAATTTTGAGAGCCACTGGATCATTTCTTTCTTGTACATTTAATTTACTGCATATGTTGCCATATTATCAAGAAATTATGTTTGTTAACTAGAAATTAAAAAAAATCCGCGAGAAAAAACTCATAATCGTGTTTCTCGGGTCGAAATATACTATCCCTAAAAATATTTGCACTTATTAGAGACTCACCCTGTATAGTTGAATGAACTATATAGATAGATATTAAAATATATGGATTACTATATAGATATTATTATTATTATTATCCTCAGTCAAATAAAACCATACGATCGATGAAAATTTTAGCGAGGTCACGAATTCTTTACTTATTTTCTTCAAAAATCAACAAGGTCAAAATTTACTTATATGTTGAGTTAAAAATGATTTTTAAATGGAGTTTGAAATTCGAGAAAACATATTTTGTTGGAAATTTAAATTTATTAGTCTAGAAACGTTCTATCCCATAATAAGTGTTAATTAAAAATTTAGAAAACTAAAAAAAAACTGAAAGGTTCAGGCAGATTTATTATTTAAGAAACCGCACGAATTTTATTATTGACAATTTAACAAAAGTTTTCGACAAGAGCATTAAATTTTAAATTAAAATTATAAATCGATTTAAGTGAATCTTTTTGAATTTATTTTTGTTAAGAAATTTTTTTAATGCAATATAATGTTGATATTTTTTCGACAACTGAAAATTACAATGTTGCGGATTCCGTTAGAAATTAACACATCCGCAATTTGTAGGCCGCGGTGCGGAAGTTCCTTTTGACAACACGGCCTCGACTGTTTGTTTGCGATAGACGAAAGTTTCATCGACGTACTGAACATGAGATAACAGGGATTTAAAAAAAAATGTTCAAAGAATAGTATACAGGGTGGCCCGAACTGCATTCCGGAAACTTCGGCAGTATATTTTGCAGACAAAAATAAGTAAAAAGTTCGTATAAATGTATGACTTAAAATGCTTATTTTCGGATATACAGGGTGTAGAAGTTTCACTTTTATTTCGATATTTTCAAATAATTTCTGAAGTAACGGCAATATTTGGATGAAAATGGGTGTCTGGGAGTTTTTTCACATGAGAAATTTGATTTTGATATCAATATGACTCCTACTTGTAGAGGGCGCCACCTACATCCTTCTTAAAACAATTAAAATACATTTAGGTGGCGCCCCCTACAAATAGGCGTCATATTGACATGAAAATCAAATTTCAAAAAACTACCAATTTTTATTCAAACATTGACGTTACTTCTTAAATTATTTGGAAAAAGATTGATATAAAAATTAAACTTCTACACCCTGTATCTCTGAAACTAAGGATTTTAAGACATACATTTACAC